AAAGATGCAAATGCAGATGGAAAAATGTTGATCCCAACAATGAATATTTTAGAACAATTTTCACCAGAAATAAAGTTTTCACATTACAAGACAGTCCACTTTACAGACTTGTCTTCTCTTAGATGTTGAATCTGAAATGGGTCTCTGCTTCATCTTGGATCTTCATCCTTGAAAATGATGCCCCTCAAGCGTTTTGTAAACAGACTCTTTTACTGCCCCGGCGATGCTGAAGTCAATGCATCACTCTTCGATGAATAACGTTGGAACGATCGTAAATAATAATCTACTGCTGGATTAATCCCCAGATCTTCGAGCTCACTGCTTTGTCTCGGATCTTTGTATTTGGAACTGATGCCCCTAAAACATTCTGTAACCTAACTCTGTTAATGCCCCAGTGGTGCGGAAGTCAGTGTGCCGCTCCTTGATAAATAGCGATGAAATGATCGTAGATAAAAATCGACTGCTGGATCACTCATCGGATCAGTGGCTCATCATTTTATTCTCGAACGTTGCACGATCGTCTTGAGCAAGTCTCCTTCTCGTACTCTGTGCATTTCTTTTTAGCCTTCGGTGCATGTCTGTGTACGCGACTGCTTGGTTGAAAACTTTTATCTCTTCTTGTGAAAATTTTCTCTCGAATATCCCCTTGCTGATCAACATTTTCGCATTATGTTATGATGATGCAATGTAAAGAAGAATGAAAAAAACAACAGAAAATAAATAAGTTAGTGCACACAAAGAAAATAAAAGAAATTAGTTAGTACAGGTAAGACAATCGATGTAGATAAAAGTGTTATTAAAAGATGAATATAACACCTACCCATCATGATATCTACCCGAGCGTGCTTTAAATAGATAATAGTCCTACCCGTACATGTTATCTACCCAAAATGAATAATTTCAAAAAATTGGTCCTAACCGCATGGTATCTAGTTCGCATGCTTTTATTCAAAAAGAAAACAAATTCTACGAAATTAAAACAAAAGATAAGGGTTTAGAAACACTCCTCCTTTGTGTACACCTAGTTTGGGCACCTACTGACGGACAGAGATTCGATATAACTATACCTAGGGTGGTCGTTCGACGGTTCACTATATGCTTGGTTTCGACTCTAACGGAAAAAAGGGACTCGAATTGTCCTTGATGTCGGTGCCCCCTTGGGCTGCCAGACCCTCAATCCTTACCCATTACAGGTTTCAAACGGACCGAGTTCAATTCGAGGGGATTCACTGCCTTATACCCATACGAGGAATAAATTCCTACGAAGGTATAAGGTATGTATCCCATGGGTTATTTGCTAAAACTCATACGAAGAATAAATTCTTACGAGCGTAAAGCATTCACCCCAACTAATTTGGATCGAAGCTCGTGTCTAGAGCTCATGTTATGCCAATGAAAGTGATGTGTGTGAGGAGGAACATACTTATCTTCGACTCAAAAGGACAACAAAACAAGAAAAAAAATGATAAAATCCTGACAAAGCTGAAAGCCAAAAATAAAATGTTAGTACGACAAAAAAACGAAGCAATTAAAAATTTCAATAAACGGATCATAAATTAACTAAAACTAGAAATCATAATTTCCACCAAGATGACAATATGTAAACGACATACAGCCTGACTCTCTAAAAAAAAGGTCCCCAGCAGAGTCGCCAAGCTGTCATAACCATTTTTTTTAGGTAAAACAATTAAATATTATTTTAAAAACGATTACGACTTTATTTTGAAAAAATGGGTGATTTTGAATTGATTTGAATAAAATTGAAAAGAGTCGCCATCGACCTTTAGATTAGGCAGGTCGAATACCTAAAAACGTCTTTCAAGAATAATTTTAATAAAAATCATTTTTAAAGACAAAAGGGGTCTACGTTTACCAGAAAATCGATTTGATGGGTTCGGGAGTCGGTTACGTGTGGGGAAGGATTAGCACCCCCACAGCGCCCAAAATTGGTACTGTATCGCTTACATATAGTCGTGTTGATGGAAATTATAAATCAAATATAAAGTTAAAATATGATCTATTTATCGAACGTTGATTAATTTGCTTCGAATTAAATAATTAGAGAAAATTCTTTAACTCGAAAAGAAATCTCGAAATTAGCAATCCTCCATCGGGAAAGCTAACTCGACTATTTCTCATCCATAAAGAATATTTCTCTCTTGATAAACTGTGAATCGAATATAAATAAAATTGACGTTTGCATACAACAAAATAAATTGATTAACTAAAATGTGAATTGAATACAAATGCAAATTTTGAAATTGACATTTACATAAAATAAATTACTATTTAAAATAACACACATTGCATCATTTTAATTAATTAGTGAAATATACTCGACTTGTTGCAAGTTCCTATGTCGTTAAAATGCCGTATCGGATCGCACCACTTCGACCAAGTGATACTTTCCACGCTCATTCTACGCATACGTGTTCTTAAAGTATTTGGATAATATTTAAATAAAGAAAAATGGAAATAAATAGAAATAAAATATGTGAAATAAATATTTACAACAAATAGAATTAAGCATGTTTAATTACATATGGTACAAATAAATACATAACATGAAAAATGTACATACATAGGGGATTAAAAGAATGTTACAACCCAAAATATAATGGTCAAAAAAGTAAGTATTTAATAATTACAATGACTAACATGGTAATAACAAATTAAAGTGCTAAAACAGAAAAATAGAAAATTAAAAGACTAAAATGGCAAAAACAGAAACGTAGGGACTAAAATAGTAATTAAACCGAATGCAAACTAGTGGCTAAAATGAACAGATCTACAAATCTTAGAGTCAAATTTGAACATCAGCCAAAACATACAACATATAAAAATCAATGACTAAAATGAAACTAATACAAACATTGTGGCCAAAACATACAACATATAAAAATCAATGACTAAAATGAAACTAATACAAACATTGTGGCCAAAGTAAAATATGAGTACAATAATATAACATGGGTTAAAATGTAAACATGCAAACATGGCAAACCATAACGCAAATAAAATAAAATAACTAAGCTTTATAGACAAGTGACTAAACTGTGTAAATTGAAACTACAATATCAGAAACATAAAATAAAGAAACTAGATTAATCAATGGCTACAATAAAACAGAACAAAATCAGTGGTCAATTTTAGAATAAACAGAAACTTAAAGATTCAAACAGTAATTATACCAAATACCAAACAGTGGCTAAAATATAAGAAACATAAATATCATGGCCAAATTCGAATAACACAAAGATTATAAAATACATTGAATCAGAGATCAAATTGAAATATTTGAAAATATTAAAACCAGAATCAAATATAGACAAAATGCCATAAAGCACGGATAGTGACCAATATGTAACAGTGAAAAGATGAAGGCCCAAAGTCAAATAAAATGAAACTTCATTCAATGGTTAAATCGTGAGATTACAAAGCTCAAGGACCTACAGAGTAGTTTACCCATAACTCAAAAAATCAGATGATATTGGGGGCAAAACGACTGCGTTTTGCTCGGCATACCCCCCCAAAACCGAGCTCATCTCTCACATTCCCTCATCTCTTCATTTCAACCAAAAACCAGAGAGAAAGAGTTGGAGAGAACTCTCCCAACTCTCTCATCGGAGAAGATGCCAACCGCTGCCGCCGGCGGAGTCCACGGCGACGCACGGTGGCCGGAGGGAACAACCTATCTCAAAAATCCCCTCGTTCTCCTCAATCCAAATCCCCAACCATCTTAGTCTAAAACCCACTCTAGACCCCCAGATCTACAAGTTTACCTTTCGAAGTAATAAGACACCGTCGACCTTTGGTGTTCTCGATGGCTTCCTCCGACCGAGGTAAGGGTTCTATCTTTCTCTCCTTGTTTTTTTTGTTTGATTTGCTCTTTTTTTTTCTGTTTTTTTTCAAAACCCGAATGCTCTCGTTCTTCTCTCTGTTTTTTTTTTTCCGAATGACCCCCCCTGTTCTCTGATATCTTGCTTGATTTATGGTTGATTTTTGCTTCGTTTGGTGAGATGATGATGTCTAGGAATAGGGGAAATTATGGGTTGTTGATTTAGGGTGACCAATTTCCCGATTTACCGGGATTTAGGCATTTTATATTTTAGGGTTTGGATATATATATATTTTTTTTGATTTGGGTTGATTTGGGACTGATGGGGTTGTTGTGGTTTACTGTAGATGACGATGGTGGCGCGGGAACGGCGGCTGGACCATCGGAGTGGAGCGAGACGGGCCGGAACAGTGACGGCGGCGCGGCTGTTCACTTGCTGCTGGCGGCGGCGGCGGTTGGATGATGGGTTTAGGGTTTAAAACCTTAATTACTGCGTGATCTGGACCGTTGGATGGGTCCAGATCCAATGGCCAGGAATGAGGCGGCTGGAACATTTAGGGGATTAGGGTTTGAAACCCTAATCTGATTTAGGGTTTGAAACCCTAATCTGATTTAGGGTTTGTTGGGCTCCGGGATTGGGCCTTTGGCCTGCAAAAATTGTAATATGTAATTAATAAACATAATAATAATAAATAATAATAATAATAATAATAAAATAACGATAAAAAAACCCGGACAAAAACGGGTGTCTACAGTTTAATTTAATTTAATTTAATTTTATCATAAAAAATTAACGATTTGACTTATCTATTCAAAATGTAAATTGATTCTAACTCAAAATTAATTTGAACTATCAATTGAGTCTTAATTTGCTTGACATTTTTACTATTATAATATGTACGAGTGTGTCAATTTAAATGTGTTTAAGCATACATTATGCTTCAATTTATAGATATAAAAGAATTTGAGTAATTTAAATAGACATTGTATAAAAAATAAATCTAAAAACGATACTTGTCATAATGATTTAATCTACAAAATTTAGTTGCCTTAAACTTAAAACTACCTAAATTCTAAAGTAACCCAAATTTAAGATCACATTAAAACATTTAAATAAGTTCAGTCGGTTTAAGTATAGATTGCATTCCATTAATTTATAAAGTTTGAGAGAGTACTATAGTTCGGTAGCTGCTTCTTTTGATGAATACAACACTGGACGTAGCCCTCGCTCAGACCCGTATCATGCTACCGAAAGATTTGATGGAAGTTTTTGGGTTCCCATTGGGTGGGAAAGGATTTCAGGTCTCGTGAAAAATGTGCAAGTCAATGGAGTCTGGGATTCGCAACTGTTTGAATGGATGGATATTGAAGAAGGTTTAACTGTTGCAGATTTAGCAGCACCATATTGGGAGCGACCAGCTGGGCCCATATGGTGGTGCCATTTGTCTGCTGGTCATTCCACCGTCGAGGCTTTTCTCAACAATGCCCAATGGTTACATCCTGCTGTCAGCCTAGCTTTGAGAGATGAAAGCAAACTGATAAGTGAGCGGATGAAGCACCTTCTGTATGAGGTAATAGTCTCCGACATTTTGTAAGTTAGTTTTATTGCATCCACTAACTCTTATTTTAACAAGTTGTAAGTTAAATCGAGTTACATACTATTTGATTCTCTCAAGTCTCAACTAAGTTCTGATAGAATATTAACTTCTGTTCTATTTGGTTCTGTCAAGTCTCGTTAAATGTTGATAGAATGTTAAATTGTTGCATTTCGAGATAAATGTATGAAGAGAGTAAATAGTAGCATGTATACTTTGCTAATTTCTTTTAATGGCTGTTTCATACCGATATCCTACTTGATATCTGTTAAAACATGATAATTAGCATATGGGATATCAAATACGAGCAACTTAATGACTTCTTTGTGGTCTTTGCTTTTGTTGGAGGATTGATCACTAATTTTATCATTTATAAAGGTCCCGGTTAGGGTGGCTGTGGCTGGAGGGCTGTTACTTGAGCTATTGGGACAATCAGCTGGAGATCCATATGTGGAGGAATATGACATCCCCGTCGTAGTCCGTTCATGGCAAGCGCAAAACTTCCTTATAACTGTACTGCACATTAAAGGGAGCGTATCCGGTGTAAATGTTCTTGGAATAACAGAAGTTCAGATTGTTCGTTCTCGACAAACCCTAATTGACTCCATTGTGACAAAGTTGATTTCATATAACACCCATACAATCTAACAGTTTCATGTGACTAAAAATCGTTGCATACATTTTCGCCAGGAGCTTCTTGCTGCTGGAGGTTATAACGTGCCCAGAACAGTTCACGACGCCATAGCATATCTAGCTAGCCGCCTTACACGTTGGGATGATAGGTACATATTAATTCATATTAGCTCCGATATCAAGGCGTCTTTCCTTTAATGTGAATGGATGTGATGTCATCACTCATCATTCTCGGACGCAGACATATCGAGTGCATGCCTGTCATGGTCTTTTTTTCGATTCTAAGCGAGGTTTTTTGTTTTTCTAGCCTACATATTGTTTGTTCAAACAAATGGATAAAGAACATATTGATACCCATTTTGCACCTTTAGCATTTTATGTAACAGCCGACCATTCCAAATGTTTCTTCCATTGAAACAATTCCAAGAGTCTCGCATGAAGAAAAACTTTTGTTTCATCAATTCGAGCATCATTGGAAGTGAAGTTGTCATGGTTGCATTTCAATATTAAAGTAGATTATTTACATTTGATGCATTCATGCAAAATTATGTGGCTTTTAAACTAATTGATGGGTTCTCTTTAATGATTTGAATTCATTCGGTTGTTTCGTAAATCCATCTTCGAGGAAGCAGATGAGATTGAATTGAAGTTTATGAACAGGTTCTTTACTTTTAAAATCATAGAAAACTTTCGTAACAAGGATTTTCTGATATTTTCATGCATAGGTAATTTTATTGAAAAATAGTTTTATCGTGTAGGAGAAACCAAGAAGACGTGAATCTTTTTGCCATTATTTTGAACCAAGAAATCCGAAGATTATCAAGACAAGTATGCTGTATTCCTTCTCGAACACAATCCATCTTCATAATTGATTATTAGCATATATTACTCGGACTCTAGTGTTAGTGTCGGATACAATTATGTGTCCAACATAGACACATTCGGTTTCTCTTAAAATTTTCTATTGGAGGGTGATATTCTAATGCCTATATCTAAATATTTATCGAACATGGATGCTTTGGAAAATGAAGAGCGTGAGCAACATAGAGTACAATTGTTTGCTAATGTACAATGTGAATCTGAAGTTGGTTGAAAATACAACCGCTCTCAATTACTTTTAGGATAAAGCATAGTTGCTCGAACTTATTCTGATATAGAAGTTGAACTTTCTAAATATTTTCCATGATTTTCATGTGCACTGCTCTGATAATCTATGTAATGCCATATGTATATATTATGTATAATTATATTTGGTAGGAAATGCAAACCTCGAAAGATTCTTTCTAGTCCTTTAACCCATAAATCAGCGTATTTTTCTTGCGAAATGGCTATAACTTGTAAACTTTACATTAAGCATGAACATCTGGAAATCTTGTATAGTTTCTGCAGTACATGTCAATGAATTTTGTGTTTGTGCCATTTCAGGTTATCAGAGTGAAATGGTCACTCCATGCAAGAGAAGAGATCGTTTTCGAGCTTATGCAACATTTGAGGGGGAATGCGGCAAGAAGCTTGCTGGAAGGAATACGAAAGAGCACAAGAGAAATGATTGAAGAGCAAAAAGCAGTCCGTGATCGTTTGTTTACGATTCAAGATGTTATGCAAAGCACCGTACGCGCATGGTTGCAGGTCTGTATAAAAAAAGGGACAAAATTCTATGATTTCCGAGCCCATTGTATCGTTCCAAAATGATTATACAACTGTCTCTGCCTAATACTGATAACACTAATGCAGGATAGAAGCCTTAGAGTAACACATAATTTAGCTGTTATTGTTCTTTCCATCATTACTGGGCTCTTTGGAATCAACGTTGATGGGATCCCCGGATCAGAGAATTCGCCATATGCATTTGGTTTGTTTACGGCCATCCTCATCACATTTGGAATTGTACTAATCGTTATCGGCATAATTTATCTTGGATTAAAAGAGCCTGTGAATGAAGAGAAGGTCCAAGTTAGGAAGCTAGAGTTAAATCAGCTGGTTAAAATGTTCGAACACGAAGCAGAAGCAGAAGCACATGCCCAGGTTCGTAAAAGTACTTATCGGAATAACTTGACTCCAACTAGCGGAGATGACTACCTTAATGAGGCCGATTATGTTCTCATCCAATAGCACAATGTGACTGCTCAAGTATTATAATGTATTCCAATTGTTAGTTTCAACAGTGCTAACTATTGATTTCCGAAAGTTTATTCGAAAGACGATCATTTTTGTTCTCGTAACACATATGAACAAATGAAATACACAAAATAATTACAATTACTATAATTTCTATCCCTGATTCCAAATGCTTTATTTCTTTGTATGCAATGAGGTTGGGGGGGAATGAGATTATCTTTTCCATTATGTAGGGTCAGAACACAAATAGCATCAAGAAAGCAACCTTATAATAACATCAATGTAACATCGGAAGCATTATCAGTTTCTTTTTTTTTTTTGAAAGAGGAAGCATTATCAGTTCTATTGCACTCAAAACAGACCAATTATCCTAACCACATCAAATATTGTATCATTACAGAATGATTTGTCATCGAGCATCTCTTGTTCAGTCTGGTTTGGTGTAAACACATTACTGGAGGAGAGACCTAGTAAGATGTTCGCGTGCCGTGGCCAATGCTTGGGTTATTGTCTGTAGAGCACCAACGTTGTTAATATGGTTGCAGCAGTATTTCACTAGTTAAAGAATTCCCGTAGTTCTACTTTATGGGGGGATGATAAGAAAGATTGAAAAATTAAGTGTTGCATGTTTCGAGAACATGGATCATCATACCTGCTCGGACAAAGGAGCTCCGGCATCCATACTATGACTATCTACCTTTCCGGCGATAACATTTGCATCAGTTTCAAGAATGACACTGCCCATAGATTAAGGAAAAAGTCAAACACAGTGGTCGAAGAAGCATAGCTAGGGGACAGTTGATTCTAGTGACTCCACCTATTCTTCCTTTTCACTTGATTCTACATCCTAATTTCTATCATTTTCCTTCACAAACAAATAAACCGGAACATAAATGTATTAATCCCCTAAATACTAATCTCGGTTTGAGCTAACCATATGTTTAACCTAGAGTATTTGGGGGATGAGGAGAGTTAAGAGACATTCCCAGCCAAGAACTGTGGCAGAGACGCTTTAAAGAAACAAACAAACAAAGAAAATGTCTACTCAAGAGATTCATGAAACGAAATTCCTTCAGCTTCAACTATACTAATACAATGAATGGAAATTCATACCCGCCATCGACAATCTCATCAAGGCACAACAGAATAAGATCCAAGTTCTCCAATGCTTCCTTCTTGTCCTCATTGCCTCTGGAACAAAGGGTAGCGAAAACAAGGGAAAAGATGCTCAAGTTAATAATATCAAACACAAATGCATAAAAAAGATTGTAATGGTAGAAAGATGAATAACCTAAGGAGAAGTCCAACTGCGTCAAAAAAACCCTGGAGTACTGTGGCCAAGATGATCTCATTTTCATCTTCACCTCCAGTAACAAAAAAGTGAAGGTCCTGAACGAACTTGTACACGACGACATAGTTGTCAAACATTGTTATCTCAGCTGTAAAGAAAAACAAAAGCACCATGTTAAAATAGCAAAACATGAAACAATACCTAAACCAATGCCAACCAAGAATGTCTTACTTGGATGTGGAGGTGAATATCAAATATAGGTATGTGTCCAAGCATGTTCACTTTTTTTTTTCTTCTAAAGATCATATATGTGAAGGATGGTATTCCCATAACCATATTCGAATATGTTGGACATAGGTTATTAAAGAAAATGAGGTCTCACTGACTCGGGGTAACATAGTTTTCATCGACATATGAAAATGGAAAAAAGGAAAACAATGTCTAGAACAATATATCCAAGGTAAACCCTTTATGCACAATAGAAGAACCTTTCAAATTCTCAAATTTAAATGAATCGGTTCACTCACTCACCAATCACCATTGATCTACCTTTTGTAGATCTACACGATCTAAATACGCACAACGGAATTAAACTAAATGTAATGAAGCACCAACAGAGATAAACAAAACTACCTTCGGTTCGAGCATTAGTCTTCTGGGTTTTGGTAAACACAGCTCTCTCAAAGGCTTCCTTAGCAGAATTCGTCGGCCAGTCATCTGAATAATACTTAACAGCTATACGTTTCCCTTCGGAATCCAAAAGAAGAATGTTCTTAATTGAAGGGCACAACTCCTATAAACAAGAAGAATAAGATCAATGAATCCTTCTAATACACTAATTTCAAATCTAATTTCAAGTTAAAATACTTTTTTAGCACTGAAGTTTAAGTTAAAGCCTCGATTGGATCTGAATATAACTGTAAGTTAAAATCAAATGTGAGGCATCTAAATTTAGATCTGCCTTAGAGATAACTAAATATAGCTAAATCAGATCTTGAAAACACAAATTAGAAAGAAACAAAAGAAAACTCGTAGGTTCCTGTAATGCGAAATTGGAAGAGAATGTAATTGAAAGAGAGAAATAAGGCTAACCATTTCTTCTTCTTCTTTTTCCCTTTCGTTTGGCGAGATTTTCTCTGAAAATATCGGGATTTTCGTTTGACAGATGCACTCTTTCTGAAATGTGACTGCGACGAGAAATACAAGGACGAGGAAAGATTAGAATTGATATAAATAATTAGCACTAAAATCAAATTTATTTATTCAACACGTTGATTTTTTTCTCAAAAATTTATTAATCTATTAATCTGAATTAATTAAAATAAACAGTCATTATAAATTTAACTCTTCCAATTCTATTTATTCCACACAAAACTAAATCTCGAGTTATATTTGCGTAGACTAATGTTTTAAGGGTTGATTATGTATAAAGTTTAGCCTAAGATAAACCTTAATGGAAAAGTTAAAACTACTGTTTTAAGTGTTGATTAATCAACATATCAACTGATCTCAATTTCAAAGGAAATATTATTTTCGTGTTAAAAAAGAGAATATTATTTTTTTAAAATTTTAGATTCGAGTAATTGTATTTATAGAGTATATGTATGTTGTCAATAATCGTGAAATATTATTTACGTATATTACATTGTAATCACATCAAAATGTTCAAAAAAAAATAAAGATCAATATTTCATATTATTTAAGTGGTGTCAATGATAATATATAATATTTTTTTAAGAGGATTCAAATTTAAATAGTTATATCTTTAAAGTGTATAAACATTATCAATAACTAAAAAAAATTTAAACAAATATCATGTAGTAGTGTTATTAATAAAAATTGTTGATTGTATCAAACCAAACGACCTCAATGATTAAATGGAAAATCGTTATTACTAAAGTATATTCTTTTTTCAAAAATATTTTTTAAAATTTTTAATCAATTAACTCTGAAACTACATTTTTTTATAAAAAATAAATTTAATAACCTTAATTCATTTCTTCACTTTAATCTTAATTTTTTCTTTCTCTTTTGATGTTTATTTTTATAATTTAATTATAATTTAAAATTTTAGTGATATTGATTTGATAGATTATTTAATAATTCATACATATAAAATTTTAACAATTTATTTGAATCTATTGAATGATCTTGATGATAAAAAAGAATATTATTTTCTTTAAAGAATTTAAATTAGAGTACCTGCAATTTTATAGCATGTGTGCATTATCTATAAATTAAAATATGGTAAATTATAGAAATGGTCACTTTTGTTTGAGTTTTATAATTTTTTTTTTCTCATTGGATTCATAAAATATAATATTTGGTCACTTTCGTTTCATTTTAATTAAGATTTAGTCACTTTCATTTCACTTTAATTAAGACGTAATCACTAAAGATTAACTACTGTTAAACCTTTAACGGTTTGCTAACATGACATGGTAAATATATAAAATTAAAATTATATAATTTTCACGTAGTTAATACATGAATTAAGTTTTGGTTATTTTCTTTTCATATTTATACACTTTTCTCACCAAATTCAAAAAAACATAAGTTTTAGTCACTTGCATTATTGTTTTATTAAGTTTTGGTCACTTAGACATTGAATGTCATTTGTTTGATGGCGTGATATGCTAGTAAAATTGTATAGTTTTTATTTTAATCCTTAAACTTTAGAAAAATATTGATTATATGTTTTTTTTTGTAAATTCAAATTAGCTTAGGGACAACATTTCTATTTACCCATTTTAATATTTTTTCTCCTCAACCCCCAATATTGCTCATCTTTTCCCTGCTTTTTCTTCTGATGTTTCTGCTCCATTGAAATAGCCTTTTTGTTTATACTTGATAGTTGTAATTATTTGAAGAAAAATTAAATGGGTTCTTAGTTGTAAGAAAATGTATAAAAAAGTAATGAAGCTGGTGTAAAATTTAGAGAATTTGCCATTAAAACTTCGAAAAGACTTACTACCACACCGACGCCACCGCCTTGAGCCGAGAAAACTATAGCTTCTTCAATGGTAGTGTTATTGACGATAAAGTACCAAGTTTCCATCTTTGACGCAATATTGACCAATGAAATCCATGTGATGTGAAAGATCGTTGAGAATGTTTCGTCACATCCGAATATGATCGACCTCCACAACATTTATGAAAATCAAACTAGCGTTCACTTAGTACTGGAGGTCTACTCAGCAATGAGTTATTTAATCGGGTCATTGCAAAAATGAGGTGCTCAAAGGCTGACACAATGGTGGTGGTGGTGTGACATATCACGTAGGTCGCATGGGTTAACGATTATTCATAGGGATCTAGAATTGGAAAATTGCTTATTCTTGAGCAAAAACAAAGATTTGATGTTGAAGATCATCAATTTTGGATTGAGTTAAGTGGATGACTTCACAGATCCAGTTATTGGATTTTTTTTGGATCCATTGATTATGTTTTATCGAATGCACTTTCTCACGGGAAAATCACCACGAAGAGTGATATTTGCTCATCAGGTTATTTGAATCTATTGATTTTTGTTCTTATTCCTTGTTGGATTTTTAATTCTACAATCTTAAACTTTGGAAATTAAATTTTAGTTCGTATAACTAAGATTGCCCAGCTTCATTTTATCTCTAGATGCCTATCCTCTCATTTTTCTTTGAACTTGTGGTATTATTATTTGTTATCAGGAGTTAGAAATCTTTCATTATTCTTGAAATGCATTATTCTTGAAATGCATTATTAGTCTTTGAAAGAAGACAAATGGAGCAATGGAATTGAGATGACTGAAGAAGAAACATGGAGAAGATGAACAACAATGAGGTTGAAAAGAAAACCTATTAAAAATGGATAAATTGAAATGTTGTCTCAAAACTAATTTAAATTTACAAAATACCCATAATCAATATTTTGCCTATAGTGTAGGGGTTAAAATAAAAAATAAACCATTTTACTAATTGGTCATATCATCAAACTAACGACATTCAACGTCAAAGTGACCAAAACTTAATAAAACGATAACGTAAGTGACCAAAACTTAATAAAACGATAGCATAAGTGACCAAAACTTATGCTTTTTAAATTAGTGAGAAAAGGTGTACAAAAATGAAAGAAAATTGACCAAAACTTAATTCATGTATTATCTACGTGAAAATGATGTACTTTTAATTTTATATATTTATTATGTCAGGTTAATGACCGTTAACCTTTAGTGACCACATCTTAATTAAAATGAAAGAAAAATGACCAAATCTTATGTTTTTCGAATTTAGTTAGGAAAAGTTTATAAAACTCAAACAAAAGTGACCATTTATGTAATTTACACATTAAAATACTAGTTAAATTTAGGGCTAATTACATGATTGATCACTTTTGTTTGTGTTTTGTTCTGTCATACCCCGAAAATTTTAGATTACATCAATAATTTTAATTAGCATTTGAAGGATCAAATTGTAAAATTTTGAAGAAATCTTGAGTTGTTTCGTAAGCCTCTTATTTGTTTAGGGTCTTAAATATTTATTTCTTCGTCGCTATTTGGTTTTAAGTATAAAAAAATATATGGTTCTTAGGAAAAAAACCCATACCTTCTAGAGAGTTTACCCTAAGCTTTAGCCATCTAGACTAAGTCCCTTTTTCACGTGAAAAGCTTTCCCCATAACCTTTTATCTAGGGATGACAATGGATTCTGGACCCTACCCAAATTCGTAGATCCAAATATGTTTTATAAGATATAGATCCTAAAATTTTGGACTCGATGGATCCGGACAAGATCTAGATCCTCTGATTAAAGTACGGATCCGGGTCTTGATCTAACAATAAGATACCAGATCTGGAGTCGTTTGCCCGTTTATAGAAAAGTCTACCTTTGATTTCAAAAAATATATAAATGACATAATAGGTTTTAATATATATATAAATATTCTATAGAGGAAGACGTATGAGTTCTTATAGGTTTTAAACTCGACTTGTGACAATATAATGTTTTATGATCTACATTTTTTTAATGTTTGTGTTATTCAAAAAACATTTGTGTAATTGTGTTATAGTTTTTTTGAGACTTTAGTTTATCGTTTTTTATTCTATTACTAGTTGTATTGAAATTAATATTTCCTATATTGGAGATATGATATGAAATTAATCAATGACAATTTTATTACATTAAAAAATAGGTTGAATGGTTATTTTTTAACATACTCATTTTGGTCCCAGACCCGTAAGATCCGTTGGATCTGGATTTGGGTCTCAATTTTCTAAACTTGCGGATTCGAGGCAGGTCTAGATCCAAGATATGAAAATGGAACTAGATCTGGGTCTAGCTAGATCCAATCCAGATCCAATCCAGATCCGACCCATTTCTATCCCTACTTCTATCATCCCAAACTATTTCCACCGCTGTTCATCTTATCTCCGACCGGTGATGGTTGACACCGCCATCATCCCCGACACCAGTGCCACTCCCGATCATAACCATACCCTTCATCCTTAATGGAAGCCCACCGATTATCATAAAATTCCAAGAAAATAATTGAAGGTCATTTGAGAAACCCATCTCTGTCCTCATCCGTCGATCGTCGGTGAGCGTCATCTCCATCAAAAAGTGGAGTTTCATCCCACGTCGAGTAAAACCTGACCTTTCCCATACCAATTGGCCCCGTCGTTTGCCGTGGAGAACAACCTAAAGTTTCGTCGAAAACTAAAAAATTTCACCACTTTTTCTGTGTTTTTTGGCCTATCCTATAGTTGGTTGGCCTCATCTCCACTGCCATATAGTTCCTCACGTTTTCGAGCAAAACCAACCGATATTGTTTCTTCACCATCGGTCTTTAGCTATTCAACATGGGTAAGCTTTCCGGTTATTTTTTATGTTCGATTTACTTCTATTTTGGGCTTGATTTTTGAAATTTTTTTGGTTGGTTTGGTGAGAATGGAATTGGGATTGACCAGACGGCCAAGACGACCCCCATCACTACTGTACATGCTGGCACGTACTACCGCCGTACATGGGTTTCCTGTCCGATTGAATATTTTGGAAATTGAGTCAACTTAGATCGAGTCAATCGAGTCAACTCAGAACGAGTCAGTCAAGTCAACTCAGACCTGACCTTTGACCTAACCGTTGAACAGACTCGTTGACATTGACCGTGTTGACAGTTGACTTTGACGAAAAAATTAATTTTTTCAGAAAAAAATCAACTTTTTCGGAAAAAAATCATATTTAATGTTTTT